ATGGGGGCAAATCGAGAATGCATGGGGGAGGGGGGGGTAGGAAGAGAAAGAAGGTCCGAATAATATATAAGGTAGTCAACAGGAAGTAACTTGGAGAGGGAATTTTCTAACGAACATAGACAAAACGTATATTAAAGTTGAGCACACAGAGAAAGAAAGACTGCGCACAAACCTTTCTTCCCGTTTTTTTTTCTCGATAGATTGGGCCATTCCACATTCCATGGAGGAAATTTAACGGTTAGCTATGGAATGGAAACTCTCATTAAAATTGCGCCTCGTCGGTTCGGCGAGCATAGTTGCGGCGGGTGATCGAGTATACGGCATCGGCTCGATCACGGGAAATCTCGTCTCGTCTCGAAGTTTTCATGGAATACGTAATACGGAATGGGAAAAACGTCCTCGGTCTCCCTTTGCCGAGAGAGAGACTCGAGCTTTCTCACTCCCCTCGGCTTTCCTCCGAACGTCACGAACGAGGATTCCCAGAAAGCCTGCCGAAGCAAATGCAATGATCTCTCTCTCGAGCCGATGTTGTTAGGGGGATGAGACGGTACGAGAAGGGAAAATCCATTTCCCAGCATCCACCTCCTCTTACTTTCATCACCCTTCGTTATCGTGCTCGATTTTCCCCCTTTGGTCGTCGCTGTGGAACGACCATCTCGTTTCACGAACGATTTTGTGCGCCACAACGGGAAATCTTCGAATCGATCTTTTTCATTTCTCCTCCTGCGATGAATCCAGTCGCCGGATTCACGCCGGTGATCCTCTGCCTCGTGTTTTTTCATACCTCCGGTGAGTCGGCCGAGCCGATATACGTCTGCATACCGATGTTCGACCTCTAAGGATTCGAATATTTAAACGGAACGGGACGATCTATCGAAGAGCCTGCGAACGTTCCCGCTACGCCCGCCTCGAGAATGCCAACTATCGATTCCCATTTTAAATTCCAGCTCTCGACCCGACGCTATCCGATGAAAAGCATCCCACCGAAAGAAAGGGAGAAATCTCGGATTCTCATCATCGACGTACAGGTGACTCTCGTCGTACGCAGGGGTTGCGTTCCCGAGAATCGGGGAAGCTTCCACGGCGCCTGCGGATAGGGATGGTGATGGTTTCCATCGAAACGAAATCGCGCATATGCGAAAACGCGGATGACGAAAGCGCGAAAGAGTCACCTGTATTTGAAAAGAACTCGGTAGATTCTTTCCCTTGCCGTCGAGATTTTTGGAGGTTCGGGTAGGGATGCGAAGCGGCACCCGAACCCATCGTCACGTCCCGTCTCGAGGTCCCGATTTCACGCACGACATCGGCTTACCGCTACTAAAGACAGATATCGTGGAAGCACATCCATCTACTGCCTCGTTCCGGCTACATTGCTCTCGAGAGAAATCGATGAAGCTAGTCACTGCGCGGGACGTCGACGACAACGACCCCATTTCTCGTAGGGTGGTAAATGCGTGGAATGCGTCCGGTGACGACGTACGAGGTTGCCGTCCCGTGCAGGGGTCGACGACGAAATCCCGAAAACAAAAATGCCGAAAGCCGAATAGGGTAAGCACCACGGTTTCTGGCCGGTCTCCAGTAGTCGGCCGGTGAGGCTTAAATCCAGCATAATTAGTTATTCTGGCAGTTTTCAAGCATTCTATCGACATCTTCCCGTACGAGGACCTATTACGAGTGTTTCCCGGTGTGCGCACGGGGTGTCCACAAACTACGGGAGGAAGTATCGGTGTGGCCAAAAAACTGGGGCCCTACAACGAATGTGTTGCGATGGATGCGATGGATAAAAATGTCGAACAGAAATGTCGAATTTCTCAGTTCGGCGAACGTTGAATACACCGACTGTAACCTTATATCTAAAAAAAAATGGCAAAAAGCCGAAACCCCAGACGGATACGTGAACGTGAAGTCGAGACTCCGAGAAGTCAATAACGAGGACTTTTCGATCTGTATCCGTTCTAGCGTAACGTGTTGACTCTTTCGAGTGTCATGCTAGCAAAAACGATGGAAATCGTCTCGTTCTTCTACGAATATTCCGGGAATATTATGGACGTGAGGCGAACTCATGGGTGTACACTGAGCGTGAGATTCCACGCTTGGAAGTCCCCCAACTCCTAAAAGAGGAGAAACGAAATATGGAAGGACTCTCGGAACGAGCGCGTGGATGAGACTCATGGATCTCGTTACATCATATCCTACTCGAGGGCCGTGAACTCAAAACGTAGGACTCTGAAATTACAGAACGGCCATAAGCTTATTGGACCTCATCCCACTCGTGCCCTATTTAATTCCTCGTCAGTTACACGTGACGATTCCATTCTCCGGCAAAGTTGGACTCTACGTTCCGTTTAATACCGTGAAATAAAACGTTTCATCCGCATTTTGTACTTCTTCGTTTTAGCTCTAATGCATTTCGAGCATTTCACATTCACGTAATTAGGCAAAATAGAATTGGGCGAATCGGGATTGCGGCATTTCTTCGCACACCGCAAGTAAACTTTCTGGAACCGGAATCTCGCATGGGGTTCGTGCAACTCGAACCGGTCTCTTCTCGTTCTGCTGTTACCGTCGAGACGAAAGAATCGACAAGGATCCACGTTATCGATTCCTGTAATGATGTTAACCGCCTGGATGAGGTCCCCCTCGTTAGCCTTCTTCCGAGCGGATGGTCAAAACGTTCTCACACGTTTCTCATGCGAAACACCTACAATATTTTTTATCACTCGAGAAGCACGGCTCTTAACCTTCGCGAGTACTGTTGGCGCACTTTTACTCCATGTCGGACGGAATTATTTTCTTTAGTGACTGGACTTTTAACTTTCCACTTCCTGTCCCGTATTCCTCAACTGTTTCTTCATCTCCAGATAAGAAGAGCAAATGTTGGCTTAGATCCTAGCAGAGAACAGTGCTTCACCTTCTAGCCCTGCCTCCCGTCCTCCCTCCACCTCCAACCTCATCCACTCACCTAAACCAGGATTCGTCCTCGTTCACAAATTCCCTCGTTCTCCAGCATATGCTCATGCTTCTCTTTTTCGCGTTTTTTTCTCACATTCTGTGCTTTGGGACTTTTCTATTGATATGCCCCCTCCCCCATGCATTCTCGATTTGCCCCCATTTTTCACTATTTCTTGTTTTGCTTTATTCTCATTAATTTTTTTTTTAGGGTTAGACCTCATGTTTCACTTTTTCTTCCGTTTTTTATTCATAACTCCTCAGACGACCACCTCCTTTCACCAAGTGAAGTTCCTATTTTATGATCTACGTTTCTATATTTACTTTGCTCCGCTTTTTTCGATGTTTTTTTAAGCCCGAACGAGAACGGCTATCTTTCCCCCGAAACGTGGAGATTTGAAATTCTCCTTTTCCAGAACGAAACATCCTTCCCGCTGGGTTGGGAAAAGGAGCGCATTTCTCATTTCGTCCTCCCTGCATGCCGAATGAAGATCCTGGATTTCTGCGGTTCCCCAGATCCTCTTTTCTTCTTCGCCGATGCCTTTCGAATCCGTCGCCGAGGAAACCACCGAGAGGACGGCTCGTTGCTCCACTTTCATTCTCCCCCTCGAGAGTCGTCGTCGACGAGGACTTCCGCTCTTCCAGGCGCAATTACGAGATCCGTTTCCACGGTGGCAGCAGCCAGAATGAGACACAGACGTCGGTTCCCATAGTTACCACCGGGCGACGACGCGTGGGTGGTTCCCATCCGCTCGCGTCTCGGGACGCACGTTTCTCGAGTCGATCCACCTCTGCGATATCGACGAGCTATTCCCGGCTACGAAGCCGGCAATCCATATACGTGGATCGGCGGCTTCGTCGTCCGGTGGCAGACGCGTCTCCGTCGGACTTTCGAGAGGATTCGCGTTCGCAACGTAGATCCGCGCCCGACAGATAAATCATCGACCTCGGACGCGTCTTTCTCCAAAGATTTCGTCCCCTCGATCGCGTTCGCGACGACCTGCATCGAGACGGTTACGTGTTTCTTCCTTTCCTCGACGTCGCGCCGATCGTCGACCCTCTCGCCGCCGAGTTTTAATCGGGACCCGCGCCGAGAGTTCCGTGGAAAACGAGTCCAATCGGGAGCCGCGGCGAAAGGGCTCGGGACCTCGGACGAAACACCCGACATCGAACGAGATCGATTCGACGCGAGGAAAAGGGAGACGACAGACCTTGACTCGTGGCAGGGTGAGTCTCTCGCCGGGATCCTTGTGAAGAAGCTTGGCGATGAGGTCCTTGAGAGAATCGCACACTCGCGGGGCGTCCGGGAAGCTCAGAGGTTCGTTCTGAATCTTGTGGTATAAAGCCATGATGTTCTCGTCTCGGAAAGGGACGTCCCCCATCACCAGAGCATATAAAGTTATCCCCATGGACCACATGTCGGCCGCCTGTCGGAAAAGGGGGGGGGGGGGAGAATAAATGGAAAGTAGGATTCGGAATGAACTAAAATGAAAATGTTCCATTAAAATTCAATCGAAAAATAACATGCGTTTCTTTTGAATTTCGCTTTAAAATATTATTTGTTAATATGCATCGAGCTCTATAGCGTCCACTACGATCGTCAGAGTTCGCAATCGTGAGGTGGCCCTATTTTTGAGTTTCTGGGATGGCGTTCGTCTTCCCTCGGCAGATCGATGCTGGAATTTCACGCGACAATGGCAAGAGAATCATCGATGGGCACAAAAGACAAAGTGTCCATCGATCCTCCTCCGTCGCTCTTCGATGGAAGGTAAGCCCTGTGGCCCTGTGGCCCTGTGGCCCTGTGGCCCTGTGGCCCTGTGGCCCTGTGCCCCGTGCGGCCCAATGCATCCCGCATCCCTAAGGATGCCCCCATCGGAGTCGAGAATCGAGAATACGAGGCTCCAGGCCGAATCGATCGGTTCCGATCGGTTCTAAGCACACGCGCGAGAAAGGACGAGCTCTCCGAATTCGATGGATTCGCCATTACGACTCATTGGGGGTAAACGCGTCCCCGTGCTTCGGCGAGAAGGCGATACCTTGCCGGAGTAGGTGCCCCGTCGACATCGCAGGGCTTCCGGGGCGATGAAGGCGGGAGTCCCCGCGGTGTTGCTGAGGAGGGCGTCGCTGCCGTCGAACTCGTTGCACACCCCGAAGTCGGCCACCCGGACTCGGTCGTTGTCTCCGAGCAGCAGATTCGACGGCTTGATGTCGCGGTGGATGATCTTCTGGAAGTGCACTGAAAGAGAACGAAGAGTATAGATCTGCGTCGGGCCCCTACCGGGGCTAAAGGGTCGTTTCGTGTCGTTCTTTCCCTTCCGATCACGTGCCGACTCCACTTTCGGCATTTCCCTTTCGGGGAACCTCCTCTCGTTTCCCCCATTTTCCCCCATTTCCCCCATTTCCCCTGCACCTCTCCTCTTCCCGTGTCGTTCCCCGCCCCCCGATGACGACCGCAGGTATCGCGATCTTCCGTCATCGTAGAAAGGTCCGTGGTCCCAGCTCGGGGTCGCACGGAAGATTCGACACCCCGACGCCGTCGCCCTCGTTTTCGCTCTTCGAGTTTCCGCTTCGCCGTTCCTCGAAATCGGCGTGCCACCGAGGAAACAGCGTCACGTCGCAAAACGAACGACCGGACGGAGACGACTTTCGTCGGTCGACCGTCGAGTGGAGTGTTTCGTGCGAACGCGTCCGAAAACCGAGCCGGAAGAAAGGCTAAAGCCGAAAGACGAACGCCACGGCACGCGTAAACCACGAAAACCTGCGACGACGAATCCGAGAACCTAACTGCATCGCTTCGTCTGGCGAACGAGAGAAGAAAGAAAAATTGCGATGAGTCGTTTTTTAAGCGTCATGCGGGAGAATACTCTTCGTCTGGAGACGATGATCCCAGCATCCGGCGCGTTTCGGCTTCGACACGAAAAACACAATCGCGATGCAGTGCCCCTCGACTTGGAACGTTGCGAAAGCGCATGCGTATTCGAGGCAAGCGAAAGGGAAAACGCAACCGTTTTATATCCGAACGGAGAACATCGTGCCGTACTTTTATCGCACACGGAACGGTATGACGTCGAGACGAGAAAGGGAAGGGAACGGCTAATCCTCCTTCGGGGCGATTTGCTCCTTCCGGAATCAGCCGGACGAGGATATCACGGTGATCCGTCTCTCACTCTCTCTCTCTAGGGAGAATAACACCCGCATCGGAAGGATGAGATAGAACAGGAATGGGAATTCCCCTCATCCCTTTCGCACGATCGGGAGTGCAGGTGAAATATTCATCCCTTAATGGACGAACGAAGATGAAAGTCTCATCTCGTTACGATCCCGTATGGAATCGTGGAAAGACGCAAAGAGCGCCGCCCGTCCAAGGCTCCTTCCATCCGATTTCCTCCACGACGATGCCGAAGGGGAGGCAGCCCGAAGGGGAGGCAGCCGAAGACGGTGGAGGAAAAATCGCGCCATGGCACGGCGAATGGCAGGAGTGTGGACTCTTTCCATCCCTGAAATTTCTTGCCGTTCTTACCCCTGCCGCGTTCGACTCCCGCGAGCCGAATTTTGTAACGGAGGAATTCCATCTCGAGGGGCGAAGCACTTCGTCGCTTCGGTTGCGCGTCCGACAGGGATTCGGTTGGAAAACGGATGCCCGATCGCCTCCCCCGAGTCGTGAAAGACGCCCAAGTTTCGGCGCTCTGGCATCGAACGGTTAAAGAGACGGTCGACCCGAAAGTGAGCCACCCGGGGGGAACGGGACCCCACGGGACGGTCGGGTATCGCAGGCCTGCTAGAAAAGTTTTCGGACTCGAACGAACGCCGAGACGGCCGAATCGGGTTTCACCGAGCGACCCCGACTTTCTTACGAAGCGATCAACTTTCAAACTGCTTTTAAAATTTTTTTACATTTTCATTTCAAATTTGGGACGCATTTGCAAAGAGTTCGTTTCGCTCGAACGAAACGTTCGAGTCGTTTTAATACCGCTCGTCGTCGACGACCGAATCGATTCACCGAGTCGAGCATTTGAGCTCTCTCGGAGATTCGTACTCGGCTCGACGATGGACACTAGCAGCTGGAACCACGCCACGCGAATGCAGCCTCCATCTCCGCGAGTCCACGGAACGACGCGTTCGAAATCGAAGAGGACGGTCGCGAGAACATTCCCTCTTTTCCTCCGTGGCTTCACGAAACCGATTTTTTTCTCGTCGATTTTTCTGCTTTTCCTTTCGACCCTTCGATCGTCGTGCGGAGACTCGAGAAGACAGGCCGATCGTAGGAGACGAAGCAAAAGAGCCCGGCTCCTCGCATCCGGCCTGCCGTTGCCGCATTCACGTCCCGGAAGTCCTTTCTCGTCCGTTTCCTCGGCCTCGAGGCGCGATGCGCTCGCGATACGGACAGAGGGTTCCGGGCCGAGCCGTACGATCGACGACGGCGAATCCACCCGCGAATCGAAAGTTCCGACCGTTGATAGAAAATCCCAACCCCATCCGAGGCGACGACAAAGAAACGGCGAGACGATCGATCGCTCGTCAGATACCACGGAACACGAGTGCGGGGGGCACCCTCGGCGGCACCCTCGGCGGCATGAGGCACCCTCAACCGTTGCGCGATGCCCCGATTCTGCCTCGCGTTTTGGTATCTGAGGCGTGTTCACGGGACTGCCGGAATGCTTGCACTCTTAGGAAGCGGTCGGTACGGGGGATTCCACGTCGCCATCCAGGAATCTTTTTTTCTTCTCGTCGCTCCGAATCGCTCATCCCGGTCGCACTTCGCGCCTCGATCGTTCCTCTTCGATCGTTCGCATCTCCATGGATTTTCCTCGAACGCGTCGCGAGGAACGGCACGAACGGCTCGTCGTTTTTCTAACGACATCGTTTCGGACCTTTCCGGTCCGACGATAAAAAAAAATAGATACACGTATGCACGATTCTCGAGAATCCTCCGCGGAAAATTCGACGGCGCGGGCCACAAATATTCGCACCAAAACGTGAGTTCTCCGAGAGAAAAGGGAAGGGGGGAAAAAAAAACAGATGGAGCTAAGAAATCCGCCTCTCTTCGGTAGAAAGTACTTTGAACGGAGCTCCGCTAAAAAAAATGGAGGCCAGACACTCGAAGTCCCGGTTTGCAGACCGTGCAGCAGCAACTACGAAGCAGAAAATACGCGGATGCGGCCCTCTCGAGCCCGACCGTAATCTAGTCGATCGCTGCACGTGGAGCGTTCTGCAAGTTTCCACAAAATCCACGTCCGAAACGACCCGAACGAACGAGGGCCGGAGCCGAAAGAGGAAACGGAAGAACCGATGCGATCGACCGGTGGACGAGAACGTTCCAGGTTCCCGACGACGAAAGAGAACGCGTCCAAAACGTTCCGTCGATGGCAAGAGAAGATCTCGTCGTCTCGTTAGGATTCCCTCCCCGTACAGAAAAAGTTTCAACATGTTCAAATTGAAACCGGTGAATCAACGGTGATTCACCGTTGATTCACCGGTTTTCAACGTCTGTTCAACAGGGGTTCAACGTATTCACCGTTGATTCACCGGTGAATTACTGTTGAATCACTGGTTTTCAACGTCTATTCAAC